TCAAGCAATGCCACAGAAGAACCATTTTTGGTTCCACAAAGAACCATTCAGTCAAAGGTTCTTTAAAGAACCATCTCTTTCTTAACTTTTTATAATCTGAAGAACCTTCTTTTGCCACAAATAACCTTTTGTGAAACAGAAAGGTTCTTCAGATGTTAAAGGTTCTTTATGGAACCATTTAGACAAAAGTTTTCTTCTATGGCATCGTGAAGCACCTTTATTTTAGTCACTGGGCTCACTTGTGCTGGTGAATTTAATTAAGTGGAAATAGGGGGATGAGACAGACCTGACTGCAGCAGTCCACTCGCTCGCGACAGGCACAGGGGCATGCTGCTAATTAAAAAGTTTAATTCCACGACTGCCGCGTTGGCATCCGAGTGCCCAGAGGTGCGTCCTTGCACGCCTTGGCAGAAGCTTATCAGGAGCATGCAGATTGGGGCATCCCAGGGAGGTGCAGGGGCTAGGCTGTATGGAGAGAGATGGCATCCAGCTTGAGCTGGGAGGCGGCCCACCTCGTCTCACAGCTTCGAGCCAGCAGTCAGGAGGCAAGAGTCGGGTTGAACTGCAGCGTGGTGTGCTGAGGCATGGTAAACAAGGGATAAACGGAGGATTTGGGTTCTGTCCTGCTTTGCTCAGCAGTGGATCTGCGTCTGCGACTCGCTCCTTCTGTCAGAGGCTCGTGTCTCGGCTTCTGACAGGAAAGAATCAATGCTGCATGCTGTTCATACTCCTCAGAAACGTGCAGATGATTTGCTTCACCCAGTGACCCTTAAAGTATTAGGACACTTAAGCCACACTGAAAAGCGTCTGAATTTCATTGCATTAAATATCAAAGTAAGTGACATCTGCAATGAAATGGCGCTGGAGCTTTTCTCACAAATAACTTTTTGGAGCTATTTTGAAAGGTGTCAGGTGTCAGGGAACCTGTCAATTCTTAACAGCTTCACACGGATGTTCTATCAGAGTAACCACACTGATGAGCTACATTATGTATGGACATGATCAACTAACATCTGAACCCGCGTGTCCAAATACTTAATTCTGAACAGTATATCTGTTGTTTTATAACTAGAATTTTCACATTTTCATTGTGCTATAATTCTTTTTAAACAAATTCATTTTCAATTAGTTTAACTGTATTAAAAAAAAATTAATAATAATAATAATAAAAACTATATAAACATCTTAAAATAACCAATATAATTGACAAGAACACAAAGCTAAATTTCTAAAACTTAAACTAAAATTAAAATGAAAACAGACAACATTAAGATAAAAAACAAATTTAAAATATTAATAAAAATAATACTCTTGACGATATCTCATTGATACTAAAATAACATTGGTTTGGAACAACACGAGGATGAATAAATAATGAGTTTTCATCTTCAGGTGAACAATGCCTTTAAAGGAATATTTCAACATAAGGAAATATCTACCAATAGTATGTTTTGGCATGTTAGTGATGACCACAGAAAATAATGTCTATCCATCTCTCAGTTTGTATAAGCAAACAGCTTTGCACATACAATGGAAGTCTATAGGGAAAACACGCAAGATGCTGCTGATAGAGCTTAACTTGCCTTTAACTCTCAATATTCCTTTAAACTACCAAAAGTTGTAAGGAATGAGGAATTTCTGAAGTTCTATCAGGAAACAAGGGTCACTGGGGAATAAATAGGTGCTGGAATTAGAGCGCTTCATTGTGTAGACTTGTACAGGGCAAGAACAATGCGTGGGCTTCAGCAGTGTATAGCTCTCACCGATCAGAATGTATTTTATCTCCAACAAAAAGGAAGAGACCTTGGTGTAGGCAATGCTGATTCTTTGCTATCTCTTGAAAGGCCACCTCTTTTACAGGCTCACGACTGGACAAAAAGATGGAAAAACTCAAATAGCCAAAGGATCTCCAGCTCTGAATATTGTGTGGGGGCTATTGAAGAGAATGAATAAATAACAGATCAGAGAAGCCTGTAAAATGCTGCAAATGTCCTATTAGATTTTTTTTTTTTTTTAGCAATACAAAATAACCACATACTGTAACATTATATAGCATATCTGATTCTTGTATCATTGCAAAATGTAAACGATATTATCGCCCAGCGCTAATTGGGAGCTGGGATGCTCAAAAAGAGCAATGTTTTGCCCTACAAATGGCTTACTTAAAAGTTGTCTCTGCATATTAAGCAGGGATATGAGTCTTTTAACACTGCAAAAATTACACACTTCAGCTTTAACACTCTCATTTTACCTTCCTGCACTCCTTTAATCTAAAAGTGAACCCCAACAGTGGCGCGATTTGTCTAATGATGCCAAGCGATTATTATTTGACAGAGGGAACGCATTACCCACTCAGTGAAAGTGAGGCTTCTTTTAAAAGCAGACAGGAGTTTAACAGAGCATCCAGTCCTCTCTGACAAGCCTTTTAAACATAGCATCAGGCTGTAAAGGAGGAGCGCCATCATATTTCAAGACTGAAATGACTACCTAACTTCTCCTGATATATATGCCCAGGAAATGAAGTCCAAAAAGCCTTTACCGCTGGATATTTATTCACGAAGGCTTTAAAATGTAAAACCGGCTTGTCTCTGCGTCTTTGCATACAGAATATTTGTAAACCGAGTTGCCTTCTTATGCATATTAAAGGGAACAGACCTCCTAAAAATCACAACTGACTCACTGTCATGTTGTTCCTAACCTGTATGACTTTCTTTCTTCTGTGGAACATAAAAGAAGATATTTTTTTCCCTAGTGTATAGGCAAAAACAAAACACTTTCACGTTTTCAAAATATCTTCTCTTGTGTTCCACAGAATAAAGAAAGTCATACAGTTTTGCAAATGACAGGAGGGTGAATAAATTGCATAATTAACTTTAATAATTCTTTACATTAATGAACTACACGTTTCACATGTTTAAGCTTTACAGCCTTAAGTGTGAAATGAGCCACTTCTGAAAATGCAAATCAGTTTGCAAGCATTTGGTGAGATTGTGGTCTCAAAAGCCAATATTAAAACACAAATGTTGGGTGCATGTTGTGATGTTTCATGTCATCAAATGCAAGGTCCATCTTTTCATGTAATTTCAAATAACATTTTGTTTTAAATACAGTTTAATTGCAGTTTGTTATTTTTGTTTAGCTACATTTAACCCCTCAGTTGGCGATTTGGCATATTGTACATCTAGCCAGACAGTTATTGCACATGTAATGTTGTTTCCTTCAGTGAGTATGGTAGGCCATTACATATTTGATATTCCTCCAAGCTACATGTCATGTTCCAAGCGCATGTGAAAACAAATTTAAGGCCGCTTAAGGGATTTTCCAAAACACACAAGCACTCTTAGGTGTTACTTATATAAGCGTGTCATCCCCAGGTCTAATGAGTCCCACACAATAACTGTAATGAAACAGCTCCCATTAACACCCAGGCAAATGAACGAACGTTACGAGTTCTGCTCGCTCTGAAGTGAATTGCGGCAGATGCTGCCTGGCCTGAAAGCTCTGAGTCACAGCCCAAGGCTAGCAGATCCAGCACACGCCGCAGCATGGCTTAATGCTCATTCACTCTCTACCCCTCAGATGTTATTTGCACAGCTTCTCCTCACCATAGGCAACTGTTCGGCTGAACGATGTTAGGTCTATGTAGAATAGCACTCCAAAGAAAAACAGCCTGACTGTAATAACCTGCTCTGGTTCTGATTGTAAATATAGTGGAGAGATGTAAATTAGGAAATATCGCAGGCTGACGAGTCAAAGCATGTTGAGGATGTGTATGTGAAAGCACATACCCGAGTAAGCACCTCATGATTTGAGCACACCTGTGAGTCTGGAGCCCAGGCGTGTTGAAAGTGCTCAACGGAGCATTCACTGCACCTGGCTCTACTGAGCAGTGATTGCGAACATGAATTTGGCGTGAAATGAAACAGTCATGCTGCTGTAGTAATTATGTTAAAGCTGGACAAAAGCATCCACTGCAGCCTGGAGCTTGGTTGCTTTTGAATCATCACATATGTATTAGTCTACTGACTAATTGACTGACTAAAGCATCTCTCAACTACGAAATGGGAAACAAAAGCAGATGACCTCTGCTATATTGTCTATATTAAGTGTAGACATACTCAAATGCAATACGTAGCCCAATAGAAGTAGCATTTACTTCTGATCAGCCCTGATCAAAAGATGCTTTGTCAAATAAAGAAATACAGTATTTTACGACTGTACTCAACTTGGATGTATATACCCATCATTTAGCTGTAGATTCATTTTATGTCTTCAAAAGCTTTGATGATCGGTGTAAATAATAAGACATTTGTACTAAACTAGTGTTTTTTTCCTGAATTACTAGACCATTTTGAAAGAATACAATAATGGTAAATATTTTCTGCAATCTCTGAACGCAAGCAAAGTATGTAAGCAAGGAAAGAGAACTCAACCAAGATGCTCATTGACCATATGCTTTGCCCAGATCTATCAAATGACTCAAAAACTGCTTTTTTAATTTCAGATTAAATTATTAATTGTTTGCATCTGTAGTTTGGCATGATCTTTCACTATTATTTACAAATAAATTAACAACTAAAAATAATAATATAATAAAAGTATTAAAATAAATTGTCCCATAAATCAAAGCCAGTCATGAAGGAAGCCATTTTGTTGTCATGTGACAAGAAAACCATAAAATAGAGAGGACTCCTGCATTCTCAATACTATTTACATAGGTATATATATATATATGTGTGTGTGTGTGTGTGTGTGTGTGTGGACTAAATGTTTGCAAATTAATAATAATAATAATAATAATTACGATAAGCATTTTGCTTGAGATTGAATCAACTTTTTTGTAAAAATCTGTATAAAACTTTTTCAAAAGCATATTAAACTAAAATCAAGAAAGAAATGACATTTCCAAGAACTTTAAACTAGATTGTTGTCTTGATCTCAGACATCCCTATCTGGCATTGACCCATAAACAACACAACAGAGAAACGTGAAGGGCGCACCTGTACCAATCCAGCCCCCTCTCGTAGTTCCTGTCAAAGAAGTGAGGCTCATTCCCTACGGCTCGAACATCGGGATGAACCCGCAAAGCTTCCAGCAGAGCCCTTGTCCCCCCTTTCTTCACTCCGATTATAATGGCTTGGGGCAATGTTTTAACCCCGTAATCCGAGGTGCAGTTCACCACTCTCCGAAGCTCGCTGTCCGTGGTGCTGAATTCCGGGTGCTCTTGCTCTCCAGCAGCAGCAGCAGCGCCAGCGCCAGCGGCGGCGCGCGACATCATGCTGCTGCTGCTGCTGCTGGTCGTAGCCGCCTGAGCTCGCGCCCATCCCGACGTCCTCTCGTCGATCCCCACGCTATTTCTAACGCTCGAGACGGCGATAGTTTGCTCTGTCGCCGTTCTCTCGATGAACTCCTCGTCGAAGTAGACCTGGGAAGAGGTCGAGTAAAGTTTTTCCCTCAGCGTAACAAAAGTTGTTTCCTCTGTCGCGAGCCTCCCCTGATAAACGTAGTTCTCCTGGAACTGAAAGGAGTTGTAACAGCTCATCAAGCTATAGAACAGATAGGTGACAGAAAGGGAGAGGGTGAACATGAATAAGATCTTCCGGGGCACTTTAGAAGTAAAAACCGAAGTGCTGGACCAAAATGCCATCTCTGATAGCAGCGACCCTCTCAGAGAAGTGGCCAGACATGTTTCCACCCCAAGTCTCGCATGGACACTCAACAACAATAACCTGTCACCATCAACACCGCAAACATCTGAAAGTGCGAGGAGGACCCCGCGCTCTCCACGCGCGCTTCACTTGAGGAAAACGGATCGTTAAAAATTCCAGAAGAACGTCTTGAGTATCGATTTCTTATTCCGACGCTGACAGCCTTTGTCACAACTGATCGGATTGAATTTGCAGATGAGAACGGCTGCGGTCGGGTGTCCTTCCAAACGAGCAGCCCGCTTGGACTGAGGGTGATGCTGCTGCTGATGGAAGTCTTGTCATCTTAGACGAAAAGGGGCAAAGATATAGCAAAGTCTCTGAAGTGATGTGCAGGGCACGTCTTCACCCGATACCGCTTCTGGAGTGCAGTTTTGACACCGCTGATTTCAAGTGGCAGTTGGCGCAAAGGCTGGATCTTAATCCAAACGAGGTGCTGATGTTGTATCACCCAGTCATCCTCCCACTGCTAATCCACTAACTTTGAGCGCTGGAGAGTGAGCAGCCTCGCCATAAATATTCATTGACTGCTCTCAGTGGCCGAGAGTGCAGCGCGCAGTCTTAACGCCTCGTGTTGATTGGTAGACGTGATGCGCGCATCAGCCGTGGGCTCTTCCAAAAACCCGAATAATCCTACATACAGTAAGAAACTGGTGCTACGTCTACCGCTTTCTACAAGACGACCGAGCAGGAAAGCATTAGACACGCTTGTAATTCTATCAGCCGAAACAAAAATACATTTATATAGTCCTATTAGAACACAATAGAATGTACTTTATTTAATAATAAAATATTTGATACTAACATATTAATATGTATACTGATTTATACTATTGGTATTTGATTTATTATATCATTCAACTATTCTAGTAATATTACAAAAGAACCTAATACAAAATAAATTCATTGCACAAACTAATATATTTATAGTATACAGTATACATATGTCTTGTATTTATAGAATTAATAACCCTTTATGGCTTGAATTATTGATTGCTTTTTCAAATGCACTAAACCTATTTAATTTTATGTCAAATAAAAATTTCTGATTAAGAAAAGATTTTCTGATCAAGAAAATAGAGTTGAAAGTATCAAATGCAGAAATGTGGGGGTGCACTGAAAAAAAAATGGTTTAAGAAAAAAAAAAGCTCAAACAGTTGCAAAAGAATGGCAAGTGACACATTGAATTAAACGTGATTTTATTGCAAAACATACACCAATAATCTTTATTTTATTTACTGCTTACATTTACAACAGAATCGTTTTTTTACAGTGTGGTGTTGTGTTTGTCACACTCATATAACCTGCAAATCCTGCAGTACCAGCACCAGTGAAAGCAGTACTGATAAGAGGAATATTACAGCAGCTCATTATATGAATATAGTTCTTCCTTTTATTGTATCTGATCTCACATTTATATTGATATGACTCCATTTTTATGACAGAAGCACTAGATTTGGTCTATACAGAGCAGCTCATGCCTGCTCCCTACTGGCCTGAGAGATGCAGGACTAATCCATGCAGCAACAGCACTGGGTAAAGAGTGGTGATTCTTCATGACAGGTACCTTAATGCACATTACATCACATTAATGCGCGGATTTCAGGAGTGACTGTATAGATGAAGAATGACCGAAGAGGTGGATGCACGCATTTCTGGAATTCAGCAATGTTTATCTTCATTTTATAAATTTTGTATCACAGGTTATGGACCTTTTTCTCTGAATATGATACAAGGATTAGACATATGTCTTTTAGGGAAATAAACAGATGACTTGTGAGCTGAACGATGTGCCCCCTTCCTTTAGATCACTCCATTCATCATGTCCCTCATGTTCTACAGCTTCCAGCTCAGAGCATCCGTTAAAAGTAAGCATTCCGTTTTCCTGATAAATCTGAGTTACTGCAGCAAGCTTCTTGTAGTTGTTTTTTTGGAGGTTGTTTGAAATCAAGAAAGATGTTTGAGCCCCGGTAAACCTGCACGTTTGAATAGGTAGGAAAAAATACACTATATACAGTGGGTACGGAAAGTATTCAGACCCCCTTAAAATTTTCACTCTTAACAATATTGCAGCCATTTGCTAAAATCATTCAAGTTAAGTTTTTTTCCTCATTAATGTACACACAGCACCCCATATTGACAGAAAAACATTTAAAAAATTTTAAATTTACTGGTTGTTCTGTAACATTTTTTGATATATTTTTTTACAGAAGTATTCTGGCAACCACAGCTGCCATTTCTTTATGTAAAAACAACAGGTTTTTTGTGTGTGTAAGAACACTGAACCAGCTTTCTGTACATTCAGTAGGTTAGTCAAAAAAACTGTATGGTATGCGGAAAAAAATTAGCAAACACAACAGATTAAGCATTTCAACGTCAAGTTTGTTTATAACTGACACATGCCAGCACTGGATCTCCTCAAATATGCTAAACTTCACATTCATTACAGCACCTACACTGTAAGAAAACATCATGTTGTGCTGGCTTTTGCTGCATCTAGCTCCTCTTTCCACATATAGGGCACCCACCTATCTAGATGTGGCAGTGTTGCTGTTCTCACTCTCCAATGTTGAAATGACCTCTCAAACTTAGGTACAAATGCTCACTGGATATATAGCACCACACACTGTAGGATACACACTTATTTGATCAAAAATTCGGATGCATATCTTTTTTAAGTTGCTTTTAAAGATAGCACCTGCCTAGAAGCTATAAGAAAATGCAATGTAGAGTTCACAGTACAGGAAAACTCATTTTTAAATATCCATGGATATTTAAAAGATCGGCTGGCGGTTGGACCCTAAGCTTCTGGCATGCAGTTCAATGGGAAATCCTGTGAAATTTGCCAAAAATGCTTGAAACAGACGTATAATTGTCTGAGCTGTGAGTAGCAAGTGAGGAAAATGGTAGTTTGGTCTATTAAAAAAAAAAAAAAAAAAAAAAAAAATTAAAATATAAAAAAAATTATTTATATATATATATATATATATATATATATGCTTAAAACATATCATGCTTAAAACATTTTAACCCAGCTACATTTCCACCCAGCCCTGCTTTTATTGTTCTCCTAGATAATAAATTGAGCAGACAATATGGCTAAATATAAATATGCAGACAGATGTGCTAACAATAGGTAGTAATATCAAATGTTAACATATGGTTAATCTATTTAAATATTTTTATGCCATGCAGCTCGGCAGAAATGTCTGTACTATGATATTTCTTCTCTATCCATTGCCTTCTGTTTTGGACATTCTTACTACTTGATCATACATGAACGTGTCTTTCCCCTCCAATGAAAACCAAGCAAAAAACTGAAAAATGACATGCTCACCAAGCTGTGAACTCAAGGCAAAAGCAGAGATGCTTCCACTGTCTGAGTGAGAGAGAAAACGGCAACCTCTGACAGCCTCCGAGGCACAAAAAAAAAATAAAAAAATAAAAATAATAAAATTCCACACACATGGAAATATGTGGAGAGGGCTGAGCAAGCCAGAAGATCTATAAGGCCTACGGCATAAATTGACGATCAGCCGATAGCACCAATCAATTTCACTGCACCTATGGCGACAGAACAAAATAATTTCACCCTCCACTTTTATTTTGGTCTTGGGATGACAGTAGAGACAAATTAAGATGATAATACAGTAGAGTACAGTTTAAGGGGGGGGGGGAATATTGTCAACAGTAAAACTGGCACATGCAGTCATTCAAATACAACCCTTAAATTTAGAAATGCCAGCAATGTAACACAGTTTCCGCATCCCTTCTATGAATATGCCAAATTGCTGGATATGAAATTATGCTCTTTGGTTGCTTTTAGTTTTGTGTACACCCAAGATGAATCAGGGCGATACAAATGTGCTGGGTTACAACTGATGCCGTGGCCCCACAGTAGCACTGCAATGGATTGCTGCCACTTGCTGAAATCATTAGAGTTGGCTCGGCTGCCACAGCAAAACGGGGCTTTGCTCAGTGAAAAGTGAGATCTGCAGCTTTGCATACTAAATGAATAGTCCATCATCGCCTAATTAAGAGATTATTGGAGACTCTTGTGTCCAGTCTCCTGGACAGTAAACCATAACTGAAGGGCAAAAGAGATAGATCAGCTCCACCTGCTTCATGGCAAAATATAACAGTGAAAATCCTGACAAAAGATAAAAAATGGGCAGCTTCGAACACACAGTGCATAAAGGGATAGTTCAGCCAAATTCTATCATCATAAACTCAACCTCATGCCGTTTAGTTTTGCAGAACACAAAAGAAGATATTTGTAAGAATGCATGTACAAAAAACCCCCAAACAAACATCTAAAACACTAGCCATAATTGGATTGGGACTAGTTTTCTAAACTACATTTGTGTTATTATCACCCAATGCCTGTTATTTTATATACCAGTTTGGATGGGGCATGTTTATTAAAGAGTTGGGAGTGTGTGTTTTCTAAATGTGGGCATTACAGAAGGCTGTGTGCTGTGCTTGCATGCAACATACATCATTTTAATGATTTTCATTTAATTATAAAAACCTTATAAATAAACTTAACATGAGTTTAAAGCAGCGGCTACTTATAATAAACTCACAAAACTGAACAGAGAAATCTAGACATGTATATACTTGACACAGACAATCCATTTAAATGGCCAGTCTAAGAAATTTGGCTCTCTTAAAGGTATAGTAGGAGATCTTGGAAAATGCTAACTTTAGCCTGATAGCACTGAAAGCCAACGTCCCACCCTCCCTGCAATCACCGTCCAAAGCCACGACCCCTGAACGCATATATACGCTCACAGATCAGAATACCAGAGACAACATTACTACAATAGCATGTAAAATATGCAGAGCGGGGGGGTGCGAGGACTGGAATTGTGAACCGCTGGGCTACATCATGTGTCATTCATGGTGAGAAAACTTTAAAAGTACTACAATACCAGGAAGGAAGATCGGGTTGTTAATGTTCGCTCTGTCTGCACAGCATGCTTGAACGCACTGATGATCTATCCTGTCTGCACGAACCCGGTGCGCAGATGTATGCTAATACATACGTTGACAGGCAGGTAGGAAAGCTAATTAAAACGCACAGACCGAATGTTTTGATTGGACGAACAATTCTTGGTCCTACACCTTCCACAGAATATACAGTATAAATACAGATAAATACATTTAGACCACGTAACTTAATGATTGCTATCGGAATGTGAAGAGACTTTCAACCAGCATAACAAAAAAAATTTCTGAAGACAATCACCTGTTGCACCTTTGAATAAATTTTATTATATTAGCCTATTTTTACTCAGATGCCATTCAAATTTTGATAAGTGCAGCATATTTAATTTTAGTGTGCGAATGGTAGCTCAGGTTAGCAGGAGAAGCAATGGGATAATACAATTTCAACAATCACAGACATTCGCATTCGGACAGGATTAGATTTCTCAGAGAAGCACTGAAT